ACTTCATTGTTCAAACCACACTTTTGATAAGTGTGTGCTTAATTAATGATATGCATTACCAAAAAGTTGGCTCATAATTGTTCTATAAATTATATGGGTATAAAGAAGAGCAATATGCTTCATGCATAGTGACCACTTATTAGTTGTGCAAAACAAATAAATTTTATCCTTCAAGGTAATAAATCCTTTCAGAGGATTATGGGGATAAATAAGTTCATATTCAATATCTTCTAAATAGTGTATCAAACTTATACTAGAATTTGAATACTTATAATTTTTTTAGTGGATTTTCAAATTATAAATCTTCAGGATTTTAATTGTCCACTAAATAAATCCAGACTTGTATTTGGCACATAGGGGATAATTCAATTGCCAAAATCGCCACTACTATTATACCTTCTATGGTATTTAGAGGATATCAACACTTGTTGCTAGCTTTTCAATATGCACTTTCTAAGTGTTTATATGACACCTTCATGGTGTTTATGATTCCTCATTTGCTTTCTCTCGAGGTCTATATTCACTTTAGGGATTGATAGTGTTTATTTAAGAATCGACTGGTAAATCCTTCATGGATTAATTCCTTCAAGGATGTTCTCATTCTTAGCGAATAATATTTATCTTTTATGAGATATATTCTCTACTACATGAAAGATTATTATGTGATATACATAATAAAATAGTGTTATTCACTACAAAGTCCTTCAATGACTCTTATCCTTCAAGGACATGCTCTTCTTGAGACTTCAATATTCATACAGGAATATATATTTTAGCTTAGACTTCTTAATACTTAGTATGAGATTTAATTTCTATATGTTGCGATTTCTATTCTTCTAGAACTGTATGGATTTTTAGAATCCACTTACTAACTACATATTTCATAATCATTAATTTCATTTGTCAGAAATATAGCAGAACATTTATTTCTTCTTAGTAGGAGATTCAACCTCGATTGCTTTTCTCAATGACCCAGTATAATCACTTCAAGCGACTTTGCCATAGACTTTGTTTTCCAAATCCGGATTCTCATAAGAGAAATATTTGCAATTATAAAGGTAGCGTTGTCGACAACTATTATTTCTCTCTCAATATTCTCATAATATGATATTATTCTATCTCTTTGTTATTTCCCAAACAAAAGATGATTTATTGTTCTGTATACCCAACACAAATGATGCGCACGCTTATTGTGTTGGATTTCATCTTTGTGATTATCCTCTTTATGAGGTGCTTAACCTTCTTCATGAGGTGTTCTCTTCATGAGAATAGAGCAGTTTGTTCTTATTTCATTTAACAAATATACACTAAACTAAAACCTATAGGTGTCCCCATAGATTGCTTAATAGTATATAACATCTAGTTTACTACTAGTAAACACAACTTCTAGTTTATAACTTCAAGTTACTCCTCTATTTTTTAAAAATATCTGGCATATGCTCCGCTTCATGCTTCACAAGAGCATTAGTCAAACTATTGTTTGATTAAGTGCATGATACTATTCCTATTTCAAGCTTCAAGGAATATTTACTTTTAAGATTATTTTCCTTCAGTGGAAATAATATTTAGCATTCAAAATAGGCTTTCTCTCCCCCTAATGCCAATATTCGATCTTTAATAGCATACTTTAAAAGATATCCCCTATCATGGGCTTAAAATAATTCAAATTCATGTATCTCCAACTACAAGTGGAAACCCATTCATGTATGCTATGATGGAGTTTAATGGGAAATATTCATGCACATATATAAACACGGGGGTTATTATTCATTAAATGTAGTGAGCTAGAATACATGAATGCACTTAAGAATGTTCAGCATTCCTATAAACTCAGGGATGTTGTTCCCCTAATTTGCACATATCATAGTTTATTAAACTATTTTATTATCTAGCTTCTTTATTCTTTAGCCCAAAAAATTAATCCAAGTACTTATACATTAAAAAAATAATGGACCATACACTTCATCAAATGTATAAAATACGCAACACTAAAAATCACATGAAATTTCTTCTAGAAATTTCTAATCACCATTAATACAAAATTCCCCAAATACCTTTTCTTTAAAAATCCTAAATCATCTAAGTGTGTTATCCACCATCTTAATTTCACAATTATTCATCCCATCAATTAGGTCACTTCTCCATTTAGCTAATTTTAGATTAACCAACTCCCCCTGATCTTAGGCTACTTGGCCATAGACTAATATATTGCTTATGCATGTAACGCACTAAAAGCAAAATATTCCTTAATTCAACGAGAACTAACGTGCTAGTTAGCCAATTTAATTATGAGGGGAAAAGGTAGTAGCTACAATCTACGAATATAGCTTCTTTGCTAATATTGATGCAGGAGTGGAGATAGTTGCAGTTCAACGAAAGCACAACATAGTGATACACATTCATGTGTAATGTGGAATATTGATATTCAATCCAACATAATAGATAACAATAAAATGAAAAGCTACAAGCTTACTTGTAATTAGTACAACGTAGAGAAAGTTAACTCGGCTAGAAGGGACGTGGCTAGAACTTTAAGTCCTTATATATGCACTTAGAGATAGATTTACGAAGGCTATGGCTATTAAATATATATTACCCACATTTTCTCATACCTTTACCCAAATTTCCTCCCCCTTTTCATGCCATAACTACTTCAAGTAGTAATATGCTTCATGCATCATCTATGAATAATCATTTCAAATGCTCAATAGAATTAAATCATACTTCAAGTATTCAATAGTTGTGGAATGAAATTCACATATCCAGTATACTATTTAGTGTACAACAAGTCAACAACAGATTCAGGTAGGACATAAACTTCTAGTTCTGGGCTGAAGTATTAAATACTTAGTTTATGGATTATACTATTTCTTAGCTAAATTGATCCTTCTAAGATCAGTTCATATGCTAGTATAGTCCAATTAATCATGTGCTTCTAGGAAATTTAATTTCTCTTCTATCTACATGGCAGTAGTGCACAAAGAACTATAACCTTCATGGTTAATTGAGGCTTCTTTGTGGATAAAATCATTGCAAAACTTATTTAGATAGCCAAAAATAAGCAATTATTTATATGTGAAACATATAAATCTAATTTATTCCATGAGAAGTTAACACATATTACTTCAAGTAAGAATTGCAACTGAGAATATTAAATGTTTCATATTAGTCTTTGAGCTAATAAATTAACCATTAACCACTTAATTTAACGAGAATTAAAACTTAATGCACCACCACTACTATACTAATATTTCTATATAGTATAAGTTTAAAAATAATAAAAGTATATAAGCACATGGTTTAAGTTCTTCTAGAGAAACCTTAAAAAATCATTACCCATTCTTACATGTCTTAGCTTCTATGCTTGATATTTAGTACCTTCATGCAAGCTTTATTTCATAGTAGTGTAATCATGATCCTTCTAGAAGTGCAACATATGCAAGTCATATATCGTGGTTCATAGAGTTGTCTAAAAATTCTAACTCAACTTCTATTTGAGTAGTTTCTGATGATAAATTTAAATACTTCATGTATTACTTTTTTCTTTGATATTCTATATATAAGAGACCATTCTTCGAGAATATTCACCGATAAAATCTTATCTACCATCTTGTCTTCTATGACATTTAATATAAAGCTTGAGGTCATTGTATTTGTTTATAGAGCATCGTATATATCTCATATGGTCATGTAAGCTTGAAAATTCAATTTTCAACAATATGGGATATCTTCTAAAATTTCTCATACAGTGAGTCCCACAAGACCTTTGAGATTTACTATGGCCACATACTCATTCTTGAGAGTAATAGCAGGAACTATAGTGTCTGAGTCTACTCCACTTCAGTTGTAGTAGAATATCCTACTAAGATTTAACAAAGACCAGCTATATAATTCTATCATTCAAGGCAAGTCCAGGATATTCCTTCTTCATGAAGGTATGCATATATATCATTATAACTGGAATCATTATGTGCGCATAAGTTTACTATGTGTAAACAAGTAGCAAGGTGCAAAAAGATAGTGGATGGTTATACAAAAATATTCTTAGAAGCATGCTAACATTTTTTAGATCTAATCATGGTATATGCTAATTTTCATAATTAATACCAAGCATTCATTCATCTCAAAAATTCATTTTGCTAGGAAAAACAAATATGAGTCTCTTAAGGGTGATAGGTCTAAGGTTTGCAGGATATACCTTATACCATGTTTTTAGTGTAATCATTCAAGATTTTTATTCTTGTAATTACATGGTATATAATTCATAACAGGGTTACACTAGCATTTTCCAGAATTAAATTCAAAGCGTAGAAATTTTTCAGAATTAATCTACTATTTAATTGTGAAAAAATTAAGCTAGTGAACACAACAACTAAACTGCAGATTTAATGTTGTATACAAATTCTTATACATATGGGATATAAGAACATACAGTACATATGATCATAGGGTTAACAAAAAAAACTATGTTTTCCGATGTCTTATATACACAACATTCCCATAAATCCGCAATTTCCAGAAACGGTAGGTATTATTCTGCAAGAATAGAGAGCATAAAATCTTCAAGATTTAGTGGACTATATAAAATTTCTGATTTATATAGTCTCATTCTTATTTTCTAAAATTCTTGTAGATTTTTCTCGAAATTTTCCACAGCGTATTTCTTTTTCTTGACCCAATTCATTTTCTTTCAATTCACTACACCACAACACTGCTTCACCGTCAGACATCTGACGCTAAAAATTATATTTGGCGATGGATGATCTGACGCTAAAGATAACTTAGAGACCATCTGACGCTAAATCCTTATTTAGCGATTTAGTGTCTGTCGCTATAGGTATTCATATTTAGCGTATTCATAAAGCCAAATATATCGTGAATCTGTCTGTCGCTAAAGAAAATAGGCCCCACGCTGAGCTCATGTGCCCTCGACCCCGTCGCACTCGCACCGTATCCCCTCGACCCCGATCCCTAATTCCCATTCTCCACGACCCCTGCCCATGGATCACCACCTCACGTCGATGCCGCCGTCGCCGATGGAGAACTCAACGGTGGGGCTGGCCTCGAAGACGCCGACGCCGGCGTCCATGCCCAACTCGCTCCTCGCCTTGGTACCGTCCTCCCGCCACGTCGACACACGCGTCTGCGCCGGCGTCCGCCCCGACGCTGGCCTCCCGCACCGTCTACAGCGACCGCTTCATCCCCAGCCGCACCGGACAAACCTCGCGCTCTTCGACCTCGCCCCCTCGCCCTCCGCCGCATCCTCCCACGAAGGCGGCCCCGGGGCCTCGTCTAGATCTACGCTCGCCACGTCGCCCTACTGCACGCTCCTCCGCGTCGCGCTCTTCGGTCCCAACATGCCCGACCGGGTTGCGTCTTCGGCCACCGCGTGCTCGTCGTCCTCCTCCCCGGGGCCCTCGCCTGTGGGCACTCTCACCACTGGGAACATCTTCAGATTCAAGACGGAGGTGCGCCAGAGCGCCAAGAGGGCTCTTTTTCAGGAGAGGAAGAGGAGGACGCGCTGTTCCCTGGCATTTTCACCACGAGGGGTGCAGGACCAAGGAAGGTCCCAAGGTTGCCCTACAAGGTGAGAAGGGGAATTGGATTTGGTGCTTTCTTGATTGGGCCTTCTCTGTTTCTTGATTTAGGTTTCTTGGGTTCTGTTTCTTGAGCTAGCCTCGCAACTTCCTGGGGGCGTGAAAGATTTGACATCTAGCCAATTGCATTCCGAAATGCTAAAAGAGGCGTTTTTTCACGAACATAATGCGAAATTTGTAGGCTTCGTGCCAACAATTCTGTGTCTTTGCGCTATTAAATTCTCTTGCTGTTGCTTGTAGGTGCTGGATGCGCCTGCTTTGCAGGACGACTTCTACCTCAACCTCGTCGATTGGTCTTCACATAATGTCCTCGCTGTTGGGTTGGGCAATTGTGTTTACTTGTGGAATGCATGCAGCAGCAAAGTAAGCAACCGTGGTCATCCTTAAGGTATATCGTCACTAAAAATTGAAGATGGATTGTTAACAGATTTATTGATCATTGTATAGGTCACCAAGCTTTGTGATTTGGGGGTGGATGACAATGTTTGTTCTGTGGGGTGGGCGCAGCGTGGCACTCACCTAGTTGTAGGCACAAATCAAGGAAAAATTCAGGTTATGTCCCGTTCTTACCTTGAATATTAATATTTGATATGCCATCAAGTGTTGGATGATATCTAAATCCCTTTTAGTGCAATGTATCATCAAGAATTACAGTTGTATACAACACATGGAATAAATTTGATAATTTTGCAAAACCAGCTCAGGTGTAGACAATGTGCCTTTTAGCACTTAGTATATTGATTGGTTTATTATGGTAGTCTACCCTATTGATTGTACTCGATTGACACAAAAACCTTCTGTGTAAAACCTTAAAAGTTTTATACTTTATGGAAAACCTTAGCAATTGTAAATGCCATTCTTCTATATGCTCAAACCTCAAACTCGAATCAATTTTATCCGGTTTTGCTCTTGATTTAGAACCACCCTTATTCCTGTAAGGAATCGATTTATAAATTCATAGAAACAGTCAAATGATCATTCTGTTTGCCATCTGCATTGGTATGTAAAATTGTTACTTTATGAGTATCTGCAAATCTGATTATCATATTACATTTCCTTAGCTATCAGAAGATTAGCACTAGTCCTTTCATTAGCTTACCAACATGTTTATGCTTCCTTTAGTGATCAAAAGGCTTCCTTCTATGGGATACTATTGCTTAGAAAATACTCTAGGTCACTTTGTGGTTCTTATACCTCAATCCTTGCTTATTGATAAACCTGATAACATAAACTGGGAAAGTTATGCAAGAGGTGCTGTTTATGCACTGTAGAATAATGGTATGTAGTTTACTTGACTTGCAGCTAGGTCGGGGCTTTAGATCTGGCTGCTCGGTGTGACCTGCCAGATGATTCCTTGAATTTTCGGTTTTAGCTCTATTATAACTTTGTAATGCACAACACACAAGCCCTTTTCATTTGTAAAACATAAAAGATTAATTTTGTTGATGGTGATAGTGTTTCTGATGCATCACGTTTAGTCAATGGTGGATGTGGCATTAGTTAGCTCAGAAACATTGTTAGGCGACAATTTTGCTCCGACAAGTGGGATGTGGTGACTCGTGAAATGCTATGAAATTACTCTGAATATGGAGGCTGACACAATCTTCTACTTATATGAAAATTAACCATCTTCATCTTTGTTCAGGAATTGTGGTTCAGGTGCTACAGTTTACTGCACGTGAAGCTGTGGTAAGTGTCCCTATGCTAATTAGGTGTCACATCATGTAATGTAACAGCACATATAAATTGTAAAAGAACACATTTTACTGGTGTGCTTCTCCATATATGGTAAAAAGATAAGTCTGATTGGGATTAAGGTGATATTGCCTTGCTCTATTTTTGTTAATTTCAGTTAGCAACATTGTTGCTTTCCTTTCTCTAAGCCATAACGAATCACTGGTATGTCAAATGGATTATTGCTCTGGTGGTTTTGTTAAATTTAAACATATCAATTGTTATTGAGCCACACAAGCTCCCATAAATTGGAATTCTTCTATATTCTACAGTGGCGCTAGATATAGTAGCATCAGTGGCAGGATAAAGCAAAAATATTCATTCTCTTTGTTCTCTGTTTGTGGTTATCTGTGAATGTCATGTGCAAGTGATCTTCTGTAACTTTTGTATACGCATCTGCTGACCATCTCTTTATTGTAGGTTTACAAAGTGAAGTGCTTCATTGAAGGTTCCTTTTGTATGATTTTGGCAAACTCATGAATAGAAACCGACCTGACATTATATGTTCCTGCTGTACAAAACAAGCATTCTTCAATAACAATATGCCCTCCAGTACTCCTAGAACTTTTTATTTTTAATACATTTTCTAGTATTGTTGTTACTACTATTATATGTTCCAACAGTCATAAATTCTGAGTTCCTGCCTTGTGTGTTCTCTTTGTTAGTACAGTACATTATTGGTACACTTTCGATCAGTTTAAAAGACTAAACTTTTCTCAATAGGTTTAGCTTACTAAATATTTCAGAGGCTGTCATTTATTTATGAGTGATTCAGTTCCTGTAATTTCTTTGATGGTTTATGCTAAAAGAAAGGACAAGTTTTTTTTTTGCTGTAAACTACAACTGAAAGTTTCTAAACTGAAACTGAAAGCCCATCTATTACTGTGCTGGTAGCAGCATTTGCTTTGTGAGGGTGACAACTATGAATTCCCTTATTTTTCTGTCCTAGATTGCATTGATACATGCTAGTTTGCTGCTGTTGTTACTGTCCTATCTAGCCAGTTACATCCAGAGTTTTGAGTGAGTATTATAGGTTCTAACCTCCTGTTTGCTAAACAAGAAGTTTAATAATTTAAAAAGCATGTTGGGCATTTTTTATAGTGTAATAGGTAGTAACAGTAGCATTTATTTTTGAGCAGGCATCCAGAAAAGCAAGGGTGGAACTTGAGATTTCAGAAAACTCAAAGTTTGCTAGTTTCTACTTCAACTGGTATGTCTCTTTTTGCCACCATAATTCAATGCTGATTCTCCCTTGGCAAATCATGTATTTCTCTAGCTGCCCTGACTATGCCATGTGGTTTTCAAAAAAAATAAAAAATTCAGGCCTTACCGGGGCATATTACACTGCATATCATTTACACTTTTATGCCATGATTTAAGAAGTAAAGAGCTTCCAGTTCATCATTTTTGTTCATAACAAGTTTATGCCTCCCTTACATAGCTGTCTACTTTCAGATCTTTACCATGCTATGTAGCTATCATCTGCAGAACTTGGAAGCCAAATCAAGATTTGATGATGCCTTAGAAGAAAGGAAGACCTAGCATTAGTGGATTCTTACACTAAGGTAACTCAGGGAATGATTTTTTCACATGTAAAGAGTTGTACTGTGATGCCTTACTATGTTCCGTGTAAATTATATATCTATCCAACAAGAATACCTAGCATTAGTCTGTACCACAGGACTTGCTTGTTTTTGCTTTTGTCAATTTTTCTTCCTTGTATTGTGGTCTCAGAATTTTTTGTTTTGTCAATATATGATCTATAAAATATGTTTGATATCAGCTTGTGTCTTTGAATTCAATAGCTAGCAGATTCGAGTTCTGAACATAGCTAGTCTCATTGTTCCTTCAGTGATTTAAGTAGTGCACTAGCGTTTTCTGCTCATTTGGAATTGAGTAACATATAGTATTGAAGTAGCACTAACCTACTCTAGAAATATTATTGTAAAAAATATATGACTTAGGGTAAGTACTTGGTACGCTGTTTGCTATTTGACCAACAACTCATTTTTTTCACATTGATTCTATACTGTACATTTTCTTCAAAAAAATGTTGGCCTTCTGCTCATCTGTTTACATTATATTTATTCATCTATGCAATACTTAGTTTTTACAAGCAACCTAGATTTTAAAATTGTTGCCAGGTTCATCCTTTGAATCTTACTAATTAATTGAGCAAATTATGAATTGTACCTATACATTTTCATATGCATAAACAGACCTAGTATAAATCGATAAGTAGCAAATAGTAAGGTTTGAAAGTTTTAGTGTTCGAGCAAACTGAATATGTGAATTATATTTGTGAAACTATGTCATCTCATTCTCTCATTGTAAGTTGAAAGTTGCAATTTGTAACCGAATCATATTTATCATTCTGTTATTGCACTGCAGTAAATCAATTGAAATAGCAGCAGCTCATCTCGCTCTGTTGGGCAACTTGGTCCTGGCTTGTTTCAGTTCAGCAACAGCTCAACCATGTGTTTCAGGTTCTGAATTTTTGAGTAGCAGGAGAAATGACAAGCCATCCTTGCTTTTCATCTAGTCAACTACTTAGACGAAATCAATAATATTTATATCCTGTAGTGAAAGAGTATAGACTTGTTGATTGTGCAGGTTTATAATTTTTACAGGCATGTAACTTTGCTTCTTTTGAAAGTAGTGTTTATATGCATCTAAAATGGAGTTATTCCTACTTTTTGTAATAATACATCATACTGAAGCATAGTAACTTTATCTGATCATGGATCTATGTTTCAGGTTCATGAATGAATTTATTTGTATGAGAAATGTGCACAATGATGTTACTTTTGTATTAATTTGCAACCAAATGGCCTTTTATTTTTTTTAAATGCATTTAAATGATCTCGTCAAACCATCAGTCGCTAAAAACATTTGTAACTTCAAATTGTCTGTCGCTATAGAGTACTGGCAGGCTATCTGTCGCTAAAGAGCAGTAGCAGACTATCTGTCACTAAAAAAATCATGGCAACGGACTATCTATCGCTAAAAATATTGTCTGACGCTAAAGATTTTTAGCGACAGGGTTTACAGCGTCTACAGAAGTCTGTCGCTATAACTTTTTAGCGTCAGATTGTCTGTCGCTGTAGCCGCTTTTAACGTCAGACCGTCCATCGCTAATCTTGGTGTGGTGGTGTAGTGATTCCATAGGCCCAAAGGATTGCTTGTCCGACATGGACCACCTCCCTCTTCTCAGCCCCAATGGCGGCGTGCGAGCCGCGTGGAGGCATGGAGGTATGGCGAGCCGACGGCATTAGCATGCATGCAGTGCAACATCAATGAACGATTACCCAGCATGTAGGCAAAGCGGCATGCAGGCCATGAGAATTTTTTGAGGGCGACGATGAGCTGGCCATGTACGCGACAGGCCGGACGGCTGCTGCCAGCAAACCGTGAGCTGTGGTGCGGCGTTCATGGATGTGCAAGCCTTGTTTAATGCAATGAAAGGCAACTCAATTTCTTACGTAATCTCAACCAATTATATTGGCTTCTTGCAATTCGACTACGAGTCACTATTTGCTGCAACAATTTCAATGTGTGTTTGTATCCTTCAGGGATGAGTTAATAATGTTGGCTTCATGCCTAACTTGCAAATATCACGGTGGACATGGCGTACAGGCCACGATCGTTATCAGGGAAGACTAGTTCAATGGCAAATAGCCAGCCTGAGCCCCTGCGGCGTTCAGGCCGTACTCCGCATGCATCTAAGGACGTGTTGCAGAGAACGGGCGACATACTTCTGGCATGCATGACGTGATCGGAGGAAGCAAG